ACTCGGCTTTGTTGCCCTGCGGCATTGCTAGTGCTGGCGCCGTGCTGTCCGTTGTTGACGTGTCAAGGCTCGGCAGCTCTTTGCTTTTGAGAAGCTGCCTCAGGGCAGGATTGCCATTGTCAGCCACCGGAGCAGCAAGGCTGAGTTTGCTGCTGTTTGTGCCGGGCGTGGCTGGCTTGGAACTGCTCCTGCCTTTGCGGAGCGTGTCATGTCTCGGCTTGGTTCTGCCAGCCCTGAGCCATGCTTGCCCAGAAAGCCTTCTGCTGTTGCGGGGGGTGTCTTGCCTCGACCCAGTACTGCTAGCTCTGGACATGACCAACCTAGACTTGCCGTTGCTTGTGCGGAGTTCTGTGTGTGCTGGGCCAGCTCTCAGCGCGCTGGCGCTGAAGACAGGACCTGTGCTGCCGGCCAACACTGGGGCCATCTTCGATTCTCTGCTGCTGCCCCAGGGAGTGGCACGTCTTGGCCTTGCTTTGCCAGCGCCCAGCCCTGCTCAGCCAGGCTTTCCAACGTTTTTGAGATCCTGCGCTCGTTCAGGTTTCAGCCTGTTTGTCCTAGGCAGCTGCCAGGCTGAATTGTCTTTGTCGGCTCTTGGTGTTTGCAGTTTGGGCTTGTCTCTGCCTTTGCACGGATCCTTGCGTGCAGACTCTGTGTTGCCGGTGTTGCGGGCTGTGAGTCTTGGCTTGCCGTCACCCTTGCGTGCAGTCAGCTGGTCGGGCCTGTCCCTGTCTGTTCTTGGAACTGCCCAATTCAGCTCCTTGTCGTTGCTGCGTGCACGTGCTCGGTCCGGCTCGGCTTTGTTGCCTTGCGGCATTGCTCGCGCTGGAGCCGTGCTGTTTGTTGTTGACGTGTCAAGGCTCGGCAGCTCTTTGCTTTTGAGAAGCTGCCTTAGGGCAGGATTGCCATTGTCAGCCGCCGGAGCAGCAAGGCTGAGTTTGCTGCTGTTTGTGCTGGGCGTTGCTGGCTTGGAATTGCTCTTGCCTTTGCGGAGTGTGACATGTCTCGAACTTGTTCTGCCAGTCCTGAGCCATGGTTGTCCAGAAAGCTTTCTGCTGTTGCGGGGTGTCTCTTGCCTCGACCCAGTACTGTCAGCTCTTGACATGACCAGCCTAGACTTGCCGTTGCTTGTGCGGAATTCTGTGTATGCTGGGCCAACTCTCAGCGCGGTGGCGCTGAAGACAGGATCTGCGCTGCCAGCCAACACTGAGGCCATCTTTGATTCTCTGCTGTTGCCGCAGGGCGTGGCATGTCTTGGCTTTGCCTTGCCAGCGCCCAGCCCTGCTCAGCCAGGCTTTCCAATGTTTTTGAGATCCTGCGCTCGTTCAGGGTTCAGCCTGTTTGTCCTAGGCAGCTGCCAGGCTGACTCGTCTTTGATGGCCCTTGCTGTCGGCAGTTTGGGCCTGTCTTTGCCTTTGCACGGCTCCTTGCGTGCAGACTCTGTGTTGCCGGTGTTGCGTGCTGTGAGTCTAGGCTTGCCGTCACCCTTGCGTGCAGTCAGCTGGTCGGGCCTGCTTCTGTCTGCTCTTGGAACTGCCCAATTCAGCTCCTTGTTGTTGCTGCATGCACGTGCTCGTCCCGACTCGGCTTTGTTGCCCTGCAGCATTGCTCATGCTGGCGCTGTGCTGTCCGTTGCTGACGTGTCAAGACTTGGCAGCTCTTTGCTTTTGAGGAGCTGCCTCAGAGCAGGATTGCCATTGTCAGCCGCCGGAGCAGCAAGGCTGAGTTTGCTGCTGTTTGTGCCGGGCGTTGCCGGCTTGGAACTGCTCCTGCCTTTGCGGAGCGTGTCATGTCTCGGCTTGGTGCTGCCAGCCCTGAGCCATGCTTGTCCAGAAAGCCTTCTGCTGTTGCGGGGTGTGTCTTGCCTCGACTCAGTACTGCCAGCTCTTGACATGAGCAACCTAGACTTGCCGTTGCTTGTGCGGAGTTCTGTGTGTGCTGGGCCAACTCTCAGCGCGCTGGCGCTGAAGACAGGACCTGCGCTGCCAGCCAACACTGAGGCCATCTTCGATTCTCTGCTGCTGCCCCAGGGAGTGGCACGTCTTGGCCTTGCTTTGCCAGCGCCCAGCCCTGCTCAGCCAGGCTTTCCAACGTTTTTGAGATCCTGCGCTCGTTCAGGTTTCAGCCTGTTTGTCCTAGGCAGCTGCCAGGCTGACTTATCTTTGTTGGCCCTTGGTGTGGGTAGTTTGGGCCTATCTTTGCCTTTGCGCGGCTTCTTGCGTGCAGACTCTGTGTTGCCGGTGTTGCGGGCTGTGAGTCTGGGCTTGCCGTCACCCTTGCGTGCAGTCAGCTGGTCGGGCCCGTCCCTGTCTGCTCTTGGAACTGCCCAATTCAACTCCTTGTTGTTGCTGCATGCACGTGCTCGTCCTGGCTCGTCTTTGTTGCTCTGCGGCATTGCTCGTGCTGGCGCCGTGCTGTCCGTTGTTGACGTGTCAAGGCTCGGCAGCTCTTTGCTTTTGAGAAGCTGCCTTAGGGCAGGATTGCCATTGTCAGCCGCCGGAGCAGCAAGGCTGAGTTTGCTGCTGTTTGTGCTGGGCATTGCTGGCTTGGAACTGCTCTTGCCTTCGCGGAGCGTGTCATGTCTCGGCTTGGTGCTGCCAGCCCTTAGCCATGCTTGTCCAGAAAGCCTTCTGCTGTTGCGGGGTGTCTCTTGCCTCGACCCAGTACTGCCAGCTCTAGACATGACCAACCTAGACTCGGCGTTGCTTGTGCGGAGTTCTGTGTGTGCTGGGCCAGCTCTCAGCGCGTTGGCGCTAAAGACAGGACCCGTGCTGCCGGCCAACACTGAGGCCATCTTCGATTCTTTGCTGTTGCCGCAGGGCGTTGCACGTCTTGGCTTTGCCTTGCCAGCGCCCAGCCCTGCTCAGCCAGGCTTTCCAATGTTTTTGAGATCCTGCGCTCGTTCAGGGTTCAGCCTGTTTGTCCTAGGCAGCTGCCATGCTGACTTATCTTTGTTGGCCCTTGGTGTGGGTAGTTTGGGCCTGTCTTTGCCTTTGCACGGCTCCTTGCGTGCAGACTCTGTGTTGCCGGTGTTGCGTGCTGTGAGTCTGGGCTTGCCGTCACCCTTGCGTGCAGTCAGCTGGTCGGGTCCGCCCCTGTCTGCTCTTGGAACTGCCCAATTCAGCTCCTTGTCGTTGCTGCAGGCACGTGTCCGTCCTGACTCGGCTTTGTTGCCCTGCCGCATTGCTCGTGCTGGAGCCGTGCTGTCCGTTGTTGACGTGTCAAGGCTCGGCAGCTCTTTGCTTTTGAGGAGCTGCCTCAGGGCAGGATTGCCATTGTCAGCCGCCGGAGCTGCAAGGCCGAGTTTGCTGCTGTCTGTGCCGGGCGTTGCTGGCTTGGAACTGCTCTTGCCTTCGCGGAGCGTGTCATGTCTCGGCTTGGTGCTGCCAGCCCTGAGCCATGCTTGTCCAGAAAGCCTGCTGCTGTTGCGGGGTGTCTCTTGCCTCGACCCAGTACTGCCAGCTCTAGACATGACCAACCTAGACTCGGCGTTGCTTGTGCGGAGTTCTGTATGTGCTGGGCCAACTCTCAGCGCGCTGGCGCTGAAGACAGGATCCGTGCTGCCGGCCAACACTGAGGCCATCTTCGATTCTCTGCTGTTGCCGCAGGGTGTTGCACGTCTTGGCTTTGCCTTGCCAGCGCCCAGCCCTGCTCAGCCAGGCTTTCCAATGTTTTTGAGATCCTGCGCTCGTTCAGGGTTCAGCCTGTTTGTCCTGGGCAGCTGCCAGGCTGACTTGTCTTTGTCGGCACTTGGTGTCGGCAGTTTGGGCCTGTCTTCATCTTTGCGCGGCTCCTTGCGTGCAGACTCTGTGTTGCCGGTGTTGCGTGCCGTGAGTCTGGGCTTGCCGTCATTCTTGCGTGCAGTCAGCTGGTCGGGCCTGTCCCTTCTTGCTCTTTCTACTGCCCAATTGGAGTCCTTGCCGTTGCTGCACGCATGTGCCCGTCCTGACTCGGCTTTATTACCCTGCGGCATTGCTCGCGCTGGAGCAGTGCTGTCCGTTGTTGACGTGTCAAGGCTCGGCAGCTCTTTGCTTTTGAGGAGCTGCCTCAGGACAGGATTGCCATTGTCAGCCGCCGGAGCAGCAAGGCTGAGTTTGCTGCTGTTTGTGCTGGGCGTGGCTGGCTTGGAACTGCTCTTGCCTTTGCGGAGTGTGACATGTCTTGGCCTTGTCCTGCCAGCCCTGAGCCATGCTTGCCCAGAAATCCTTCTGCTGTTGCGGGGTGTGTCTTGCCTCGACTCAGTACTGCCAGCTCTGGACATGACCAACCTAGACTCGGCGTTGCTTGTGCGGAGTTCTGTGTGTGCTGGGCCAGCTCTCAGCGCGCTGGCGCTGAAGACAGGACCCGTGCTGCCGGCCAACACTGAGGCCATCTTCGATTCTTTGCTGTTGCCGCAGGGCGTTGCATGTCTTGGCCTTGCCTTGCCAGCGCCCAGCCCTGCTCAGCCAGGCTTTCCAATGTTTTTGAGATCCTGCGCTAGGTCAGGTTTCAGCCTATTTGTCCCAGGCAGCTGCCAGGCTGACCTGTCTTTGTCGGCACTTGGTGTGTGCAGTTTGGGCCTGTCTCTGCTTATGCGCGGCTTCTTGCATGCAGACTCTTTGTTGTTTGCGTTGAGGGTTGTAGTCCTCGGCTTGCCGTCGCCCTTGCGCGGAGTCAGCTGGTCGGGCCTGTCCCTGCCGGTTCTTTCTACTGCCCAATTGGAGTTCTTGCCGTTGCTGCATGGACGTGCCCGTCCTGACTTGGCTTTGCCGCCCTGCAGCACTGTTCATGTTGGCGCTGTGCTGTCCGTTGCTGACGTGTCAAGACTAGGCAGCTCTTTGCTTTTAAGGAGCTGCCTCAGGGCAGGATTGCCATTGTCAGCCGCCGGAGCAGCAAGGCTGAGTTTGCTGCTGTTTGTGCTGGGCGTGGCTGGCTTGGAACTGCTCTTGCCTTTGCGGAGTGTGACATGTCTTGGCCTTGTTCTGCCAGCCCTGAGCCATGCATGTCCAGAAAGCCTTCTGCTTTTGCGGGGGGTGTCTTGCCTCGACTCAGTACTGCCAGCTCTTGACATGACCAACCTAGACTTGCCGTTGTTTGTGCGGAATTCTGTGTATGCTGGGCCAACTCTCAGTGCGCTGGCGCTGAAGACAGGATCCGTGCTGCCTGCCAACACTGAGGCCATCTTCGATTCTTTGCTGTTGCCGCAGGGAGTGGCACGTCTTGGCTTTGCCTTGCCAGCGCCCAGCCCTGCCCAGCCAGGCTTTCCAATGTTTTTGAGATCCTGCGCTAGGTCAGGTTTCAGCCTATTTGTCCCAGGCAGCTGCCAGGCTGACCTGTCTTTGTCGGCACTTGGTGTGTGCAGTTTGGGCCTGTCTCTGCTTATGCGCGGCTTCTTGCATGCAGACTCTTTGTTGTTTGCGTTGAGGGTTGTAGTCCTCGGCTTGCCGTCGCCCTTGCGCGGAGTCAGCTGGTCGAGCCTGTCCCTGCCGGTTCTTTCTACTGCCCAATTGGAGTTCTTGCCGTTGCTGCATGGACGTGCCCGTCCTGACTTGGCTTTGCCGCCCTGCAGCACTGTTCATGTTGGCGCTGTGCTGTCCGTTGCTGACGTGTCAAGACTAGGCAGCTCTTTGCTTTTAAGGAGCTGCCTCAGGGCAGGATTGCCATTGTCAGCCGCCGGAGCAGCAAGGCTGAGTTTGCTGCTGTTTGTGCTGGGCGTGGCTGGCTTGGAACTGCTCTTGCCTTTGCGGAGTGTGACATGTCTTGGCCTTGTTCTGCCAGCCCTGAGCCATGCTTGTCCAGAAAGCCTTCTGCTGTTGCGGGGTGTCTCTTGCCTCGACCCAGTACTGCCAGCTCTGGACATGACCAACCTAGACTCGGCGTTGCTTGTGCGGAGTTCTGTGTGTGCTGGGCCAGCTCTCAGCGCGCTGGCGCTAAAGACAGGACCCGTGCTGCCGGCCAACACTGAGGCCATCTTCGATTCTTTGCTGTTGCCGCAGGGCGTTGCATG